TTTTTGAAAAAGTAATTCCACATATATCATTACATGTATTATTGGTGCAATAGACAACAATTTATGAAGACAACATTGTGGGAGCTGCATAGAAGATTGGGGTTTTACAATGTACCATAATCTTCGGGAAAACATTAGATAGCAGCATGCAACTTTGCAAATTGACATATAGTGAAACAAATCAGCCATTTGTCACAAGTCACAGACTGATTGTGTCCTGTCACACTGACGGACGGGCGGTGGTGAAAGTGATGCAGAAATATCGAAGAGAAAATAACATATATATATTTTTCATTTCAATATTATACAGCTCCAGGTTGTTTTCATTCTCATCCCTCTTTTCTTTGGCTGATTCGTCTCAATTTAGTGCAAAACAAGAATCAAAAGCTCAAATTTGGCTCAAATTTATACCTACATATATTTGCTTTTTTTAAACATTTACATTTCCCTTGTATATTGGATATTAACAGCTGAAAATGTCTATAAAACTGTTATATTCTTCGAGAATAAGTTCATTCAATGTTCGTCAACACTTGACAGATTTAACGATACTGTGAACGACAACACAGCTTCACATAACATCTTGTATCACAGTTTCTTTGAAGGACTCAATAAATTATTGCACCACAGAAAACCCATTTAAACTCACACCACCACTAGTTTCACCAGCACTGACAGTTTCCTATCATCTACCCCGGTTCTTCAAAGCTCGGGCCTCTTCCTCTTCTCAAGTCTGGGTTTGAGCCTCCACTTGAGTCTGGTCCGGCTTCTTCACCAGAACCTGTGGCAGCGTTTGTTGGTTCTTGGACGACTCACATGGTCTCTGCTGTGTTTTGCTTTGCCAGTTTGTTTCTGTTTGCGTGTGCGTCTCCAGCATCTGCTCCTTCCTCTGTTTGGTCGGGGTGGAGACGCAGTTGCATTTATTGCACAGATCCCTCATGTCCAACAGTCCCTGCACCAAACACTTGACAAATTCTGCTGAACATGTCTGTGGGCTCTCATGGAAACTGGACACTGAGAAGATGATGTGGTCTGACTGAGGATTGTAGCACGCTCCATATCCGTTTGGAACCACGGGTCCGTAGCAGCAGAACATCTCTACAGTAGTTGGGACCTGAGGGAAGAAAGAAGACTTCAGTGCTGTTTTTATATCTTTTCCTCCACTATTGAGGTTATGTTTCATTTGGCGTTTGATTTTTAGCAGGATTTCACAAAAACTGCTGAGCGGGTTACCATGACGCTTGGTGGAAGGATGTAGTGTGGGTCAAGGAAGGACCCATTCAATTTTTGTTCAGATGCAGGATATTTTTTTCCAATTTCTTAAACATTTTTCCTCATTTGGGTGAATTTCCTCAGAAGTAATCTGTAGAATGCTGATATCTATAAACAGGTGAAATGTATGCACCTGGATATTGGTGTGGATTTTGTGAATCAAAATAAGTATTGTAGGGGGTTTATTTATATACGTGCGATTTCAAAATTCCCAATCAAGTTCTGTTACAGTTAGAGATTCATTTGTTTCCAGAAGCTAAAATAAAGTGGAAACAAGTCCGGCATGTAGCTACTCTACAGCCACAGAGGACAACAGAGGTGTTTTCACAGGTTGAGCTTTACTGATGAGTGAACTGAACTAAATTTAATGTTTTGAAATCCGATACCTGACTTGTCGAGAGAATGAACTGGTTACTGATGAGATAGGCTTCATCTGAAAAAATCTCTGGCTTCTCCATCCTCAGCTCATGTGCAATTCCACGCAGTCCTAGCAGGTGATTGTCTATTGCCATCCCTGTAATGGCCTAGAAAATAAAACACAGAGGTATATTAGTGAATTTTCATTGATAAGCATCATTGAAATCCTGTTTTTCAGTGGATGAGGTTGGAGAGTAGTTACCCGAATAGTGTAATTTGTCTGTGCAGCTATGGCACCTCGTAACATCTCCATCTTTTCTGTATCCTGCAGAGGTAAACAACAGAGAATCAATAACAGGCTATTCAATTTCCTTTATTTTCAGCATGCATAGTTTTTCATGCTGAGGAACGTGAACACAGACCGAAGTAAAAGATTGAATCTCAGTGTTAAAAGCAAAGACAACTGATGGTTTCAATACATAGTTCAAACTGAGCTTTTACTCTTCATTAAACATGATCCGACTGACTGTAGCCTCTAGAGTGATGGATTTTTGGTGGCTGATAATGATGTTAGGAAGTAAAAAATTCCAATACTGAATATATACAGGACATACTAATATATATATTTAAAAGAAAATTTGGCAATGTTGCCGAAGATGATTTTATCAAACCCCTGTTACAAAAGAAATACTATAAATAACTATAAATAAAAAGACAACAACAACAACCAAATATATAGAACTTAAAAATAATATAGAAATACATTTTTAACCTTCAGTATAAACAAAGAAGGGACATTGTGTCTGCATTCTTTATTCTTTCAAATGTAATGTTCATATCAGCAATAGGCTTTTATTGATCAAATCGGTCACAGCCACAGCAGCTGTCAGCTCCTACAACAAACTGACACAGTGACGCTATCTTCAGTTGTGTTGAACCAAACTGCAACGCTGAGATTCAGCAAGAGTCTGCACTAAAACATCTTACGCTTGTACTCTGCTTCCCATCAGTCATTGCTTTGACGAAGGCCAGGGCTTTGGGGGTGGCTGAGCGGATGTTGTCCACTCTGCCCTGCTGAAAGCGTCGTATGGAGGCGCTCTCGTACGTAGACACTGGTCTGCCATGACATCTAGAAAGAGAGGGCGATAGTCTTGTTGGTTGGAGACTTGGGTTAATGTGATACATCAGAATCAGCCCTGTTATATTTAGCTTTGTCTTACCGGTAGTACGCCAACTGAAGAGCCACCTGAATGTAGGCATCTGGACTTATTTTCTGCTTCTTGATGAACTCTTTCCCATATTCGTAGAATTTGTGGACATTCATGTCCAGATTTCTCACCAGCCTGAGGAAATTAAAACAAAGCATGCTGTGATTTGAAAGCTGTCATGGGTTTGTTTGATTTAAAAGAAAGTACAGTAAACACTCAGACCTTTGGAGCTTGTCGGCAGAGGAGGCGAGCAGCTTGTGCACCTCTGGAGTACATTTCCAGCGGAGTCTGCGCGGTGCAGGCAGCTCGCTCACACTCGCAGCTCTGACCAGCTTTGATGGGCTGCCAATCCTGACGTCAGATCAGAATATTGCCCAGTTTAGCATTTTATTTAGGTTAATCTGGTGACTTAAAGCATATGCCATACCACATATTCGGCATTTTAAAGATACAACTGCATTTCATCTCTTACATGTATTTCAATAGATACTCTGTGCACTGAACCAGGACGATTCCCTCAAATGGTGAGTGTTCACAAACGACTCCACAGCAGCCGTCAGCTCCTACAACAAACTGACACAGTGACGCTATCTTCAGTTTTGATGAACCAAACTGCAATTCTAAGATTTCAGCCCTATTGTGGGTGCAGCTTCATTAATACTTCCTCATATACATATCATATATGCAAATTATTTAGAAAGGAGGCATCCAACTCTTTATATATTCGATATTAATCATGTAGTTTATTCAAGGAATCTGAATTCTTCATCAAAACATCTCCATCATGCTGATATCATGTCTTAAGCTCAGGGTTTGTGATCCAGTGGGAACGTCAACTCTCTACCAGAATTCCTTTAAGTGTAGAATCTGAATTTGCCTTGTGATCTGCGAATGACACTGACGCTGTGAGAGATGATTTTGTTCATCAGTTTTGTCTGTCACATGTCTCGGAAATAAAAGTAGTATATTGATCCGGCTGTGAAGCGTCCACCATCCAGCCATTTTATCATTGTTATCATTCTATTTTCTTTTTTAAATGACCATTCTTCAACCAGTTCTCAAAGTTAAATCAGGGCACACAGGTCAAAGAAACAAAAACTCAAGAAGCCTGACCTGATAACTGTGCTCACTGAC